CGCGCTGCGAGCGCGGGCAGGGAGCCGCCGGGCGGGAGCGCGGAGCTGGGCCATCCAGAGCCCGGCGAGCTGGGAGGCGAGCCCCGGTGTGCGGCAGGCAACGAGCGCTCGCTTCTTTTATTTAGATTAATCGCAGTCACGGGCGCTGCTCCGCCGTAGAAATAAGCTGCGGTGTGGCGTGCTGTTGTAGGTATTCCTGCTCCAGGGACACAAGCGTGACTGCCCCCATCGAGGCCATTCTTGCCCTTGAAGCACCACGGCAGGAGTGGCCGTCACCCGGTGCTGCACTCGTTTGGAAGCTGCAGTGCTTCTCCCCTTGTGTTTATTCTACACAGTATTGTGCTTTATTATGGTAACTACCCTTAAAGAGCAAATCAGGCCCCATTACAGTGAGTAGAGTTGCTCATGTCCTCACTCACGAGTCTGGAGTTAAAGGTGTTTGCTGCCCTCAGGTAGCATCGGTTCCTGAATGGTGTGTGTGTACGGGTTGTACAGGGCTTTCACAGCGCTTCATGTTTTTCCCTTTCTGTTGTTTTTGTTTTGCATGGATACAATTCATGCCTCAGTTCTCCCTCAAGGGAAAGCTGTTAATTTTGGGAAGCTCTTAATTTCAGATGAGGTTGCTAATCTGATGCTTGTGCTCTAAGTCTCCCAACCAGCAAAGTTTTCCTACTTAAGAAGATGCAAAACTTTGTTTCTTAATTTTATAAGAACTCAGGGAAGTATTGACTTTGCAGAAGCATGATACCTCATACAGGGTAGAGGAGGCAAACGCAATAAAATGTCTGAAAAATTCTACTTCAGAATTTCCGGTCTCTCGTGTTAAGTGTTCAGAAAGGCCCTGGCAGCCCTGTCCTGTCCTCTAAAGAGACAAACTGAGATTTTTGCAGTATTGGAGTCTCTTTCATTTTCTCTAGGACCGATATCCCTAAAAGTATTTATTTTATGTAAAGTTTCTAAATGTTGCTTTGGCGTTACCCCAAAAAGAGAGTAGTAGGAAAGTAGTACCATGTGAGAATGAATAAAGTGAATATCTTTGTTTTGTTTTTGATGATCTGTGTTTGTATGCTAGATGCATTCTTTTTTTCTCTCTTTGCAAAGGGTTTTTGTCGTATTATCAAAAGATGTAAGGAACACCAGACTGGTATGTCTATAACATAGGGCATGTATGTGAATAGGAGAAACGCTTTCTGTGCCCTTTTTTTTTTTTTTTTTTTTTAACATGTTGCTTCTTTTCCAACCTTACCCACAGGTATACAGAATAAAAGTCTGACTGAAATACTATTTTAGGGACATAGGGTAGATTTAAGGAGCTGTTTATACCTACAACTCATTATTTCTTTGGTTAAATAAATCCAGATGCTTTCCATGTTTGTACAGCATAACTACCTCTGAAGACTAGCTTGCATTGTCATAGGGGAGCTAGTTGTGATGATTTGTTTTACTTTGTTGTTTTAGGTTGTGGAACTCTGGTAGTACTGGAACAGAAAGAAGCTGGGATTGTTCTGCTCAGAAGGTAATACAGGTTTATATTTACAAGCTTGAAATTAGAAATTTTTGCTTTTTAGGAGCAATGCATTGCCACCTAAATTTGACCCTTTGTGAATGGCTTTATTGAAAGTGGAACGTGAAGTCCTTTCATGCAGATCCTTTACAGGAGATAACAGTTCTCAGGAAGTTTGACTGAGATGGAAGGAGTAGAAAGGTTAGGGAGGAGGGGGTTTAGTGCTCAATCATCATTCACCTACAATGTCCTGTAGTTTAAAACAGCAATTGCTTATTACTCTGATAGTTGAAAGAGAAATACAAAACAAACAGTGCTGCAGTTTATCATATTTTCAATGCATTTCTTTTTAATTCACAATTATATAACAAGGCTGTTAGTAGCTATTAAACACTCCATTAGTTCTGCTATACACTGTGGTTTAGTAATGTTCATTTCTGTATTTCTAGAGACTCAATTTATGGTAGAAAGTCCTGTATTTTCTTGTCCCATGAGCTATGTCGTGTTTTCTTCAGAAACTTTTGATGTGTAGGCTTTTTCCTTATAATTACTGTAAGGTGCCATGAAATTAATCTGAGTTTAGTTGGCCCTTAAGTCAAAGGGAGTGAATAACTTCCTATTTACCATAAGATAGCAGCGTGGTCATTGGCAGAGCACCTGATACATGGTATTTTTTAATCATTGGTGTGTTGAAGCCCTTTTTAGGGGGTATTCAGATCTTTAGTATGTTCATAACTGCCCTTCTGCTGGGCTTTCATTATGCCTTAACTTTTTATTGATGTTCTGGATTGGACAGAACATTTCCAAAACTGAGAGTTTTATTTCTTTGTTTACCACAGTTATTAAAATATAGCATTGCAATCAGATTTGATTCTCTGTGTTGAAGGTCCTTGACTCGTTTGTACTTTAACCTAATCAGCCTGCTCTGGCGTTTGTAGGTAAAAGTTCCCATGATGTCAACCAAGTCACTAGTGAAAAGATTCAGTAGAAAATCAAATATATCAAAAGGATATTTAGAATGGTAATCAGGGTGACTTAAAGTAGTATTAATCTCTACTAGTCCAAACATGTATGTCATGCTTTCTCATGGACAAATATCTTAATTGTTCTGATTTAGTTTTGACTGGAATGATGGTCTATTTGATGTGACGTGGAGTGAGAATAATGAACACGTGCTCATCACTTCTAGTGGGGATGGATCTCTGCAAATCTGGGATACAGCTAAAACCACAGGTCCACTGCAAGTCTATAAGGAGCACACTCAGGAGGTAAACCAGGAAAGCTTGAAAATGTTAATGGCCTGACTAATGCTTGAATTGCTGACGGGGTTATCTAGAAATCACTGTCAAAAGTATCTGTATTTTTATTGTCTATCTTTTCACTTTGCTTGGGTCTGTGGTCTGAATTTATAACTTAATGTTATTGTAATTATCAATGAATTACAAACTGTCCATACTCATATACCCGTATCCTATAGCAGGTACCACTTAATCAAATGAATATATTCCCAAGTAACGTTCGTGGTTCCTTGTAGGCTAAGTAGTTATTCAGTTGTGTGAAAGTATTGAAGCCATTTTATGACTCCAGAGAACATAATAGAATAGGTCTAACTCAGATAACTGATGTGTGCAGCAGTGTCAGCTTGAGAGCTTGAGGATACAGTGACAGAAATTATACAGATCCTTAGGGCTTCTATTGTGTCAGGAGCTGCTGCTTGTCCTTTTCCTGTTCTGACATTTGTGAGGTCCTACTCTGAGTAACATAGATATTGGGAAAAGATGAGCTTTCTTAGCCTTGGATTGATACCACTGATTTTTTCTTAAAAATTCAATATCTTTGTTATGCAATATTGGTGGAAAAAAATGTATTATGTTCATCTTTAGAAATGTATTTTAGCATTTAGCATGCTGCCTGGTTCTCTGTCCTTTATAGATGCAGGCCCTTTGTAAAATGAATAGTTGCCAGTAACTTCTTTCACGAATAAGGAACTGTTTGATTAGAGACCTAAAACAATGTAGCTTCTGAAGAAAGTCATTGACTTGATAGAGTACGGATTCAGTGACTTGCTGTAAGCTGTCTATTAGAAATTTTAGTTAACTCTTCTATTGTATTAAGATCACAAACTAGTCTCTGAGAGATTCAGGAAAAAAAATCTAAAAATAAAGATAATTTTGCAGATGGTATGCTGCGCTATTTTAGGATAAGTAAGCACCCAGTACTGACAGTTGTTGGACAGACAGGCAGGAGAAGGAAGGAACTGAAAGTTCTTTCGTGCTTTCCTTCTAGTCCTGTGCTATCTTCTCTGAAGTTTCTTACCTTCTGATATGATTGGTTTTAGTTTCTCTGTTGCCCAGATTACTGCTACTTTATATGAGTAAAATAAATTATCACCAGAGGACCAGCTAGTGGATATGTAGTCAGCAAAAAATGACCGTGGGAGGCCAGTTATATATTCATGAAAACCTTTGATTCTTTGAGGTATAAGGCACAAATCTAAAAGCTGTGTGACTGCAGTTATCCAAGAGTCTTCTGTACCCGTTTTCCTTGTAATTTTCCTACTTTGGCTCAATAGACAAAAATGGTCAAATTATGCAAGTAAGGAATTTACTTTGTGGTTTTGGTGAGAATTTTATGATAGTGTAAAGAGACTGATGGTAGTAATGGAAAAATATTGGCAAAGCATAATACTAAATTCTTCTTTTGCCCATACCATTTTTCTCATTGAAATTCTGTCCATAAGATTAGTTTGGTTCTGCTGCACCATCTGTTGTCTGTAAAATATGAATTTCTGCATCCAAGTCTTGGTTTAGCAGGGAGCATGGGGAGGTTGACGCGCTCAACCATGAGTTGGAAAGACAGTTTAGGACACGTGGGCTGAGTGTTTATTGTGAGATATGAAAGGATTGTCTTGATTCTTTTAAGTGTGCATTAAGATGATAGATCTCAGTGGGAATATAGCTAATAGTTTGTGGTAAACACTGGCAGACAGTGCTCTTTAAAGTGATTGACTACCTTAATCCCTATCTGACACTTTTACTGAATATTTTGTCACTGAGTTTTATAATTACTTCTAAGGCAAGATTGACAGGGATCAGTTTCCTATTTCCTAAATGAGATCATTGTCCTTCCTTGAAAAGAACATACAATTTTAATTTAAAAGCGCATCTTTATTATGAAAGGACAATGAGTTTTATTCCAGCACTAACCAACTGCTGAATCTCATGAATAAATTAGTCTAGTTTACTTTGGTTTTGATGAAGTCTCTGTGCAATGTGAGACAAAAGAATATTTCCATTAAATTTGTCCTGTAACTTGTGTCATAACATTTATTTTGATTTTTTCTTAATATATATGTTTGCATCTTTCGCTCTTCTTTGATCCTACCTATAGAATTTGTTGCTGCTATTTATACATAAATAGCATTAATACATTCTGTGATTATAAATAAAGCACTGAAAGACGGGCATTTTGAATTCAGGTATATGCTGTGTTCTCAGTCTTTTCCTGATGCTCAACACAGCTTCTCTTGAAGCATCTGTAAATTAGTGTTGGTTGATAGGCATGAAAAGGCAAGAAGACTCAAACTCACCATACTTGGTTGCCCACGTTTTCCTCTCTTCATTCGTTTCTCAGTACCTGAACCTGTCACATGTCATGGAAAATAGCTCCTGCCTTTCCTAAGCCTGTTGTCTGTTCTGTGTGTGCATCTTGCCGGGAGGAGAATTGGTGCAGGTGCCGTTACCTCTGGTGCAGCTGCAGAATGCTGGGCAGGCCCACTCGTGGCTGCCATATGTATCCACATCAATAGCATAGCATGTGTGTAGCAGACCTATATGCTGAGCTTGTGAGTGAGCTGGAAGCCGTATGTGCACTTTGTGTTGTCTGTCTAGTACATCTGATATATCTGAAATATGTGGGGTGAGCTGAATATGTGATACAGGTACATGTTTTTCCAGACACATGTTTCTTCCTCAGCAATTCTGGACTGGGGTCGGAGAGCCCAGTGCCTCCACTGGAGCTGCCTTTGTCCAGCTCTTGCGTGAAAGAGGCCGCTACCTGGTGACCTGTGTAGGGGCACTGTGGCACGACAGCTCACCAGATACACACAGTTACATCATCAGCTACACAGCAGACAGACTCGGGGGAAGGAGGGAGGTTAGTCCTGGAGCTGCTTTGGAGAATGTCTTTCATTCTAAAAAATTGAACTTTTTTTTTCCCCTCATTTTAATGGACTGAGGCAGGTTGAAGGGGAGGATATTTTAATGAGCTGGGGTACTGTTAGCTAGTTGACAAGAGTAGAAAGCCAAGGGGATGTAAAAGTGTAAACAAAACAGTAACTCTTGATTTATTATTTGTATAGTTTTTGTCAAATACTGCTCCAGTCTCTCGCATGTGTTTTGTGAACCCCTAACAAAAGGGCAATAGCACCACATGATGCTAGAGCAACATGCTTTTTGGTATATGGGAAACATGACATTGTAAGATTAAAAAAACTGTATATGTTGCAGATGATGCACTGTTTTTCCTTGGGCAATGGCTGTCTTCCACTTATGTAAAATAAGCAAACAGATGAAAAACAGCTAATTGACACTGAATCCAGCATAGTCTGAAATGAAGTTAGGCGACTTTGGCTTTTACTCCTTTAATTTTCTTTCCCAATTTCGCTTCTCTCTCTTTTTTTTTTTTTTTTTTTTTTTTTTTTTTTCTTTCCCTCCTCTGGTAGCAAAGGTCCAAACACTTTTACCTTTGAAATAGGGTTGCTTTAATTTAATGTATGATTCTGTCTGTGCCAGAGAGTGGGGCCAGTTACACTGTGCTGCCGTAGACAGGGCATGTAGCATGTTGTGGATAAGACCCAGCGACGTGCTGGAGCAAGATGGTCCTCGCTGGAGTGCAGATCCCTGATCAGTGGCGCAGCTGCTGAGAGCAGCGCTCTGCGGTCAGTTGCCACGTTGTTGAGAAGTGTCACGGAAGGCCATGTTGGATCAGGACCTCAGGCAGATGAACTGTTTAAGCTGGTCTTTATCCACCTTTAGCCCTGAAGTGGTTCAGGTTAAAGCTGCATGTTGTTCATCCAGAGGTTTTGGAGCTCCAGTAATTGTCACACTGTGAATAGTCAACATTTCTGGCAGAGATAAAAATCAGAAGGAATTGAACCATATAGTGTGTATATAAAGTGAATTGGAAGGTGGCAATTGTGCATGATTTTGAAGCCTTGTAATATGAATATTACCCCAAAAAAAGTCTGAAGATCAGAGTATTTTATGGTATGTATTCTCCCTGACACCTCATCATCTTCCTTTTCTATGTAGAGTTATATTCTGTGGTAGTGGACACTCTGGGAAAACCAAAGATGCACATAATTAGAATTGGTAAAGAAGTAGTTATTGTTAGCTAAAACCTCAATGTTGACTCCGTAGTCAACTCTGAAGAGAGGTGTCATTAACACTGTTAGGGATTAGAAATTGTGAATGTTTAAATAATGTTGGAGTGGAGGTAAGAAGTCAGTCTGAGTTATGGCTTTTTACAGTGGAAGAAACTTCCAGTGATGGTGAGTGCATGCAGATTTTTAATGTCCTTTTTATTGTTTCAAGGTGTTTTATCTTTTTAGATATTTTCCTGAGCTATACGTGCTTTTAATGTGCCAGATTGAGAGATTGAGATGTTATTAATTTAATTTTTCCTCAGGTAAATGGCATCACTAGCAGCTCTGTGATTTCTTTTATTTATTTATTTTTTAACTGTCTGTTTTAAAATCTGCAAATCCAGATGTACTTCATGGAACTTAGGCTGATTTGAATTTATCTGCTAATGCTGTTTCTAAATTAGGCCGTTATATCTTTTATAGGTGTATAGTGTTGACTGGAGCCAAACTAGAGGAGAACAGCTAGTGGTGTCTGGTTCATGGGATCAAACAGCCAAGCTGGTATGTTGTGTTTTTGCTGAAGGCAAAAATGTGATTTGTTTTGAAACTGATATATTGCTTTGTGTTAAGAGACATTGTCTATTTACTTTTCATCTTTATTTTTAAATGGAAGCTGCGTTTCTGTTTTATCTGAGATGCTACCTTGGCCTTCAAAGGATGTCAGTTTAAGTGTTCAAGTACTTTTCATGATACACCGTAAAAAGAAATTCTTTTAGTCCTTTCTATACACACAAATCTTTTAAGAAAAAATTTCCCTGCTTTATTGCATGTAAACCTCAATATTTTTCTTTTTATTTAGTGGGATCCAGCTGTGGGGAAGTCATTACGCACTTTTAAAGGCCATGAAGGGGTCATTTACAGCACTATATGGTCTCCACACATCCCAGGTTGTTTTGCATCTGCCTCAGGTAAACATGGCTGTGAAGAATTTCTCCCAGCAAAAAAAATCCTGCATGGTGTCATGTTACTTTTGTGCTTTTTCCAGCAGGTGGTAGTGTGTATCATAGATAAAAACAGAGGAAGAGAACTACTTAGCTGTAGATGGATTTGTAGGCCCTATTGCGATCTATAAAACATTCTCTTGGCCTTTTAAACATGGATCAGAAGTTTTCTAGTAGTCAACTCAGTAACTATGTTGCAATTATTTTCTATTGTTTTATGTAGCTCTCATTCATTCATATGACTGTTCAGTAAACGTTATATACTTAATGTTCTGGTGTGTATTTTTGGTCAAGTTGTCACAAAATGCATAACATCATTTGGCTGTGAAGAATTTAGTTAATTCCTATTGAGTATTTTACATTCTGATAGAAATCACTGTGCTTTGTTCTTGGGCAAAGAAAAAATCAGTTTTGCTACTTCTGCCAGTTATGCGTCTTGCTGACTAATAGTCATAGTTGAGCTGGGACCAAAGAGACAAGGCAAAGAGGCTTTACAGCATTTTCCAGAAAATGCTCCTGTTTTGGGGGCACAAGCAGCGCTCTGGTGTTAGACCTGCGGTTGTTAACTGTTGCCTGGCTGGGGGAGAGGGGTGCTTTGAGCTGGACAGTGTGTTTGGGAAGCAGAGGAGCAGGAAAATGCTGGCCCAATATGAACATCAGTAGATTCACTCCAGTGGCTTAAACTTGTCTGATTTCAAATCTGTTTGAGTTTTGATAGTGATATAAATTGTTTAGTTCTTATATCAAGAGAGGAAACAAGTAAAAATATGTCTTTTTGTTAATTAAATTAGGAGAGAGGGTAGCACTTTTACAGATATTTTTCCTATTCTGTGGGAAGTTTGGTTAAAAAATGTGCGTGAATTTTATTTTATAAGATTTCAGTCTGTTTCTATCTGTCTTTGCTTGAACAATGGAACTCAAATAACTAACCAATTTCACATATTCCTTCTAGCCTAGCAGTGTTTGATAGCCAGGTACTGGTGCACAGATGCTTCCAACTTAATTGGAGGTTTATTAACGTAATGCTTGGGAAGTGCTTATCTAACAGGATGAACAGAAACTTAAGAGGATTGAGCCCTGCATACTGTTTGAGCAGAACCACTGAAATACAGCTACCTGCCACACAATACCGACTTAATACTATTTGGTCCAAAGTAAATGGTGAAAACAGTGTGGAGGTTTTTTGCAGATTCTAGTTACAGTCTCTATGAAGCCCTGCTTGCTGAGAAACCTCCCCTCTGTGGCATAAAATTTCTCATGTCGTGCATGAACAAAAGGGGCTCTCCTGATCCACAAATTATTTTTGATTTTTTAGTAAGTGATTCAGCTGAACAGCTTCTAATATACTGCCGTTTGAACAGCTTTGGGAGACACTGCTAGGTGCCGTATACAATAGAAGTGCTCCTGTACAGCAGCAGATAATTGATACATAAGATGTAATTGATCTGTTCTTTCCTCACTAGGTGTGTTTGAAGGGTTTGACATAAACAGTCAAAGATTCTATTCTTTCGCAAATTTTAACTGTAATTCTTGAAAAGGTGTACTACAAAAGCCTGAAACTAATCACTGACCGATGACTCCATGATACAGGAGTTTTGCAGGAAAACCAATCCATTATATTTCTCTGCTATAAGTACTACTTGGATATGAAATAAAAATCCTGTAGTGCATTGCTAGGTGTAAAATCACGAAATAAGAGAAACTCATGACTTCAGAGTCATGTTGAACTCTCTTATGGTTTCCAAAGTAAAACATTTGGTGTACTTCTAAATGAAGTAACTTCAGACCAAGATCTTGCATAGAGGTCATCAAATGCCAATGTGGAATGTCTTTCCTTGTTTTCTTTGGTTCTATTTCAAACTGAAAATTTCATGTGATTTGATTAAATTAAGTGAATTACTTCACTGCTAAAAATGTGTGTTGGGAGTTCGATCAGCAGTAACAAGCATCTTTCTGTGGTAGAAGTGCACATGTAGCCCTGGCTACAGATTCCATTTCCTTATTGGAAAGGCCCAACAGACAGTGTGTGGTCCAAGCAGCCCCTTCACTCTTCAGGGGTTATTGACTCTGCTAAGTCAGTCAAGTGAGAAGAAATGTTAGGGCAGCCAAGTGGAGCTGTCCAGGAGGCTGGGCATGCTCATCTGGGATTTGCAAGGATTCACAAGCACATAAAGATGTCAGAAAATTACAGGACAGAAAGCTTAATTTTGTTCATGACTGAACTTCTGCTGAGCTAAAGGTGGAGCTGAAAGAAAAGTGCAGTCTTGACATGATGATACACTTACTGGGAATCTCAACCTGAAGTTTTATGGTGTCTATTCTGGTATGAACATGCTTTTTTGAAAATTGCTAATTGAAAACGGGCCTGAAGGGAAGCTTCCTGAACCCGCTTTTCTTTTTTCCTCCAGCTGCTTTAAATCATTCCTATTCATTCCTTTCTTGAAGAAGGCTGAGCTGCTTTAGGGTTATATTGAGTGTGTGTGTGTGTGTGTTCGCTCTCTCCAGTCAATTCCCTTTATTTCCTCTCACCTTACACACACACGTTCTCACAAGCACATATAGGCATATGTTAATGCTATAAAGTTGGAGACCTTCAGAAATGAACGATTTCATGTTGCAACTTTGTTTTTGTTAGAAAAATTATACTTAAGAAGTATAGTGTTAACCATAACTGGAAAACATATTGGTCTTGAAATATTTCAAATTTGTTAGGTAAACACTTAATATTGTGGGGAAATAAATAAGCAAAAGGGAAGGAGATTTAGGAACTTTTGTATGCATCACCCCAGGCTTTGTGCTGCCGTTGTTTGAATCCACTCAGGTACCAGCAGACATTTAGTTTCCACTTAAGTAATTGGTTTATGAGCACTGAAAACTGAAACTGCAAGACACAGCAAAACAGCTGCTCAGAAGGACCATGAGGTGCCCAGACAACTTTGGCCTCAAGCTAATATGCTTAAATCTGGCCTTTGGAATATGATTTTCTATCAAATTAATATGAGACTAGAGAAGGAATGTGAACGAAGAAAATGAGAAACGTAAGACTGTGATGTGAAACATTTGAAGAACGTAATGCTAGGTGTGGAATGCTTGCTTAGGTCTTTGAGCTGAACACATGCAGGAGGACTAACTTTGTGTGCAGTGGACAGTAAAATGTAATTAAATTACAGAAGAAAAATGTGTGAGGCTTCAGTTAAATTAGCTTTTATTCAGCATCTAATACACTTCCATTTAATGTTTGGAGAGATGTTTGAGGTACTATACAATGCTGTGATCTTCATGTACAATCATTTATACTCTTAAGAGGCAGTTTAGTAATGCCTTATATTTTATTGTTTGCAGTTGGAGATACTACGTTAACAAAAACAAGCTGTTAATTCTGTGTATATATAAATGAATTATGTTGTGATGTCAGTAATGATTTCTGAACTGATAAGATAAGCAGGATGTTCAGGTGGACGTGCAGCACCAGTGCAGAGCCCTGGCAAATGTCTGCCTTACAGTGGAGGAAAAAAAAAAAACAGTGATGTGGAAAATGTGATTAAAGAATGACATAAATAACAACGGCTTCATGGCTAAAAGGGTTTAATGACTCACTGTGTCATTTGCCCAGAAGGTCTCTGCTTTTTCTTTTTTTTTTTTTTTTTAACCTGGAGAACAAATTGATGAGAAGCACATAAAGCAACACACAATGTTAGTATATAGTCAAACATAAATCAGTTGAACTAAATGAGCCTCAGCAAAGGCAGAGCAATAAGACTTTGCTCAGTCTTCTGGTTTACAAGGAAAGCATCCTTTAGAGTTTCATACATTTTTATTGTTCTTTAAATTTACCAGTGGGAACTGAGTGTACCATTTTATCTTTATCTGCATAACTGTAATATTTTTCAGTACATATATAAAATGGTCAAGAGAAAATATTGTGTTCTGGATTTGACAAAGCCCAGGGAGATTTAGAATGACTGTTAGCATGTATCTGAACTACAGGACCCTCTGTCTTAATGCCACATTCATTTTTAAATCATTAACACAATCATTAACTTTATTGATCTGGGTAGGTGCAGGCTGTTACATCTTTAACAAGTCATGAATTTTCAAACTGCTTTTGAAAACTGCAAGATTATATTTTCTCTATGCAACATAATGTAGATCAACTAACTGCATTCTTTGCTTAGAGAATTTTTTCCATTCTTCTGTATTTCCTTAGGAGATTTTATTTTTTTTTAATTACACTAAAAAGTATTAGGAACTACGGCATTTTTGGTTTATGAATGAATACGAAAATTCAGCCTCCACACTTGGTGCACCCTCATGTTTGGTCCTCTTCTTTAAGGTTGCACTTGTACATCACTGTCTCTTGAATTCCATCTCGTTACCTGCCCTGATCTACTGACTTGCTTTCTTAAAAAAAAATATATGAAAAATAGGGTCTTCATACCTACCAGTCCTGTACCAGCAGATGGGTGTAGTCCAAGAGTTGTTGAGCCGTAGATTCAGAGATTGGGCTGACATAAAATTTTGGTGCATCTTTCAGTGCTTGGGATCTAAACAACTGCAAAGGCAGACTATGAATAAACCAATTATCTTCTGTGAAAGAATAACCAGGAGAAGGTATATGTCTAAGAAGAGAAAAGATGCTGAATAAATGAGGAATAGTCGTGAATGTAGCTGCTCATTAAAGAAAAGTTTTTCATGTACATTTTCAAGTTTGTTAACAAAATTGGACACTTTCAGTTCTTTTATCACAGTTTTTTTCAAGCTTTAGTTTATTTCTGAAGCAGGCATGTAGCACAGGGCAAAAGAAAGAGTTGCTGGGAGAGTGAGAATTGCAGACAGGCAATTCCAAAGGTGTTTGTGTTTGTTTAGGTTCCTACATAACTGAAGTAAATAGCCCTCAAACGCTAGCATCTCCAGGGCTTGGTGTGAGTTCAGAAACACATTACAAGATGCTCGTATTCCTTTAGTTGTGTGTGGGAGGGGATCTGTTCTTTGCCTTTTTTTATAAAGTTCTTTTGTACTTATTTGCATGTCAAACGTGTTAAAAGAAAGACCACCATGAACAAGATTCAAGGCATCGCAAGAATGAGAAAAAGTTGGTCATTTGGGGAATCCAGATACTCCAAAGGGAGAACAAGGAGCTTCAGCTTAGCGCATGGCTTCTGCTGTACAAATCAGGCATTTGAAAAACAGCCTAACTGCAGAGATGATGCATTTGATTGCAGTTCTGCGAAGCTGCTGTTTGTGTTGTCATTTATGTGCCTGCTTTGTTCTGTCAAATTACATAATGAAATGACAAGGGTATTTTCATTTGAAACCTATTGCTTCAAGATGTACCACTGTGGTTTTGAATTCATCTGTGTCTTGTGTTCAGTAAGCTTTATTGAATGGACCCCTAATTTGCCAGCTCTTTGGAAATATCTATGAAGAAGTTAGTCTGGCCCTCAATTTGTGCTATGTGCTAGCAATAGTGCAGTGTTAATGAGCAATGCTTACTAGAACAGAGAGCATTTTCAGGTTGCAATATTTTCTATTAGATTGTCATCTTGTAATATAATGTTTCAGTGTTAAGCAGAAATAACATTTTTTTATAGTGAATAAGGATGTTTCGGGTGCCTCAGGTTAGATATATGGAGAGCTTTCCCATTCACTTAATAATATGGTAGGCTAGAGTAAGTCCATTGTGAAATAAATACAAGTTTAGGACAGAATTTTATTTATTTTACAAAATATTGTGAGTTTTACTAATTTCTTTTTAACAATCTGTTCTTGAAGCTGTTTTGATTTTAGCTTTACAGAATTTTTTTATGAGACTGAAAAATTAGTATTTGGGAAGTACATTTACACTCAAATTATGTTTACTTTGTATGTGCTTTATGGGAATAGATTTTGTACATTCAGTAGAACCCTATTGGGTGTTTTAAATAAACCTCCTTATTTGTATCACTCTTTCTCTTTATGTGGAATCCCAGAAGATTTACTAATACTGCAGTAGATCCATGGTTTATTTATATTATTTAAAGATGGGTTTTGAGTCATGAGATTTGAGTTCTCCTCTATTCTGTGTTTGATTCTGAGAAGATATTTTACGCTATTTTTTTTATCTTTTAAAAATATACAAGCAGACAAAATAACATGCAGCTGTTCAATAGATTGACATTAAGTGCATACTTTAATGAAGTTTTTTTAATGTTACACCATATATGCCAAAACTCGTGTCTTCTGTGCTGACTTCTTTTTTTACAGTACTTAAAAGTTAGATTATCCATTTTTCTCTTGAAGATCTTATGACGCTTCTCTTGTCAAGATGCATAAAATCAGCTTCATCTTGAAAATTTAAGTTAGCAGTACTTCAGTTCTTGGAGGAAAAAAAATCTGTCGATTAGAATACCTTCTGCTTTCAGATAGCGTGTGGAAATTTTTTTTTGCTTTCAGATAGTGTGTGGAAATTTTTTTTGCTTTCAGATAGTGTGTGGAAATTCTTTTTGCTTTTTTTCTTTGTTTGCTTGTTTTATTAATCTCTTAAATACCCAGCTATGTTAACGCTGTGCCTCAGCACTCTTTAGAGTAGATTGTTTAGCTGGTTGTTCTCACTGGCCTTCATGCATAATAATTTTTGAATGTGGCTAAAACACATCTGAGAGCGAAAAGTCAATATAAAACCTACGTGACATTTAAATTTCAAGCAAACTATGTCTCTCCACTATACTAGTCATTCCCATTAGCAGTCTTCATCCCTTGTATGGGGATGATATCCTTCTAGATTAGTATTTCTTTCAGAAGTTTTGAATAGATGAGTATGTATTGTGTAGGTCTATTGATTTGTCCAAGATTTCACAAATATTCATTAAAATGAAAGAAAACAAGTACAATATACAAACAAGTATGGCATCATAATTATCTAACGGACCAGCAGAAATCTGTTGCCATAGAGAAATTGCTTCTAACAAAAATAGAAATATTTTGTGGAGGAAACGTTGGCCACTTTTGTGGTTTCTTTGGGATGCCAATTGGAAGTGGCTGCTAGTGAATGTGATTGTATTCGGTGTCCTTTCCATGTATTTTTTAACTATTATTATCCTACTTCTGTTTTGTCATATGGAAAAAATGAAACCTCGGTAATGAAGATTTAAAGGAATTATGGAAATGTGGAAATTCAAGGATAATTAACAGCAATTTTCATTGAAATTAGCTATTAAATAATATATTGTGAAGTCATGGAAAAACATTTGAGCTAAAAACAGTGGTTGCTAAAATGTGTGATGTGTCAGGATTACACTATTAGTCACTTAAGCTAAAAAAGAAAAAAAAAAAAAAAAACACTACCACCTCACGTTTCCCATTAAACCTTTCCCTGGCTCTAATTCAGTCTGTTCCTTTGACTAAAAAGAGGTTCAGAAGGCTAAAAGGTGCATTACTGCATTAAAATAATTCACAAATAGAGTCAGCCAGAATTAATAACATCCAACTTCAGTTTTTCAGAAGAAAATGGGGGGGCGGAGGGGAATAATGTTGTTTGTTTGTTTGTTTTACTCATGGGTCATTTTTTTTCTTTTATTAAATAATTGGGAATTTTGTATTTGATGTCAAAACTGTTACTGGCTGGCTAAGTTGTTCTTCCAAATGTTTTGGGGTTCTAATATAAAGCTACCGAGGCTGTGTCTGTAGTAGTTCATTCTAGTTCACCTGGATTTATATATTTATTTTACTTATAAATATTGTCTTGTCTGTAGTGAAATATGAGCTTCTCTTTCAAAGCTCTTATCTGATGAAGTATAAAATAAAAGCTTTCTAAATACATTATTTTATCTCCAAAAGCCTTAAGATTCAAATTGGTGTCTGTCCTGTCCATGCAGGCGTATTAGCCAGGCACGCTGCCTTTTCCAGCAAGCTCCTGCTGGTCCTATTTCCTCCTCTCCATATGTCGTTCTGTTGTTATAAGCACTGTACCAATATCTGGGGCTTCAACCAACTACAAGGCATCATTCTGGGGAGTGCTGTGTGTGCACAGAGTAACAGACGTTCTCCTCCTTGGAAGTATTAAAATAGGCAAGGGGAATGAAAATGGAGAAATCATGTGTTGTTCCTATTTTACGGGTGGGGAATTTAGCCATCAACAGTATCTCTCACAATCATGAAATCTGAGGCAAAGCCAACAACTAGAGCCAAATTTTCTGTAATCCCTGTAGTACCATAGTCCCAAGGCCATTCTTATGACAAGCATTCAAGATTAGAGCAAATGTTGCTTTTAATATAAGTAGAAGTTTTAGTGTCATTCTGCTATCTTCTACACTTTTAATGAAGATCTGTGTGCAGCCTTAGCACATGGCTAGTACGGGAGAAGTGCCTGTATTTCTAATTTTGCTGAAAGAAGTTGAGTATAAATTGCCTTTCACTTTATACAGACCAAGACCATGAGTGTAGGTACTTCTCTTCGGTGACTTGCAGAGAAAACTTGTTCATCATTTTGATCTCCTAAGTTAATTTTGAAATGGACCATAAAATGTATTTGAGTAAAATGTATTTGAATATTTTACCCCATTTCTTTTTAGTCTGAGTTTAAAAAGATAATGGAAGTGTTGGTAACAAAATGAAACACGTTGTGCTTCCTGTGTGCGTCTGTGCTTGTTTTCTTTGGCCTGCAGATGGTTTGTATTTAATAGAACTGAGAAATCATTGTCTACTCAATAGTACTGTATTAATAGTACATCTCAACTGATTCATCAATTGATAAATTACACAAAATTATCTTTATTCCAGGTGACCAGACTTTAAGAGTTTGGGATGTGAAAGCCCCTGGAGTCAAACTCGTGATTCCAGCTCACCAGACCGAGATCTTGAGCTGTGACTGGTGCAAGTATGATGAGGTATAATCCTGTTCATCCAACTGCTTTTCAAATGGAATCACTTCCATTAAATAGCTTTTTTTTTCTTCTTTAATGCTATATTAGTATCTTTTCTTTTTATATGGCAATAAAAAATGTCTAGCTGCTTGTTACTTTCATTCACTAACTTCATCTCCAGAAGAGTGTTGTTCCAAGAAGTAAATGGCACCTGGGGTTTGGGTTAGTGTTTCGCATAGCACACTGTAGTGAGGACTCTGTTCTCTTTAATTAACATAATGGGGACCTCATTTATGATTTATTCATCAGTGTTGTTTCATTTATTTAACTTCAGTAGTCAATATTGCATGATCTGGATCTTGACAATTTAGTAGTTATTTGTGCTAATGTCTGTGTTGTTTCAAATCATCAGAACTTGCTGGTGACGGGAGCAGTTGACTGTAGTTTGAAAGGATGGGACTTGCGGAACATCCGTCAGCCGGTGTTCGTCTTGCTTGGTCACACCTATGCTATCAGAAGAGTGAAAGTAAGTTGTAGTTTGTCCACCATAGCCCATCATTGAATTATTATGCCAGCTTGCCAGGAAATCCGCAATATTTTATGTAACCTGGTAGCTAGGAAGAGAGCAATAAGCACTCAAGATTTTAGATGTCATATTGATTGCTTTGGGAAATCTTCAGTTCAGCACAGGAAAACATTTTGATATTTAGCAGTTTGCTAAGGGTCAAAGAAAATGTCATGATCAAAGGCAGTATGTTTGTTCCTCTGGAGAATTCTATAGGTTGAGAAGTAAACAGGAGGTTTGCTTTTGGGAAGTTTGGGCCCTTCAGACTGGGCCTGTTCAGCCTCCCCTTCAGGCTCCCTCTCCCTGCAGTGTGGGGGGATCTTGTCAGTGTGTATAGATGATGCGGGGATGTAAAGAAAACAGAGCCAGACTGTTCACTTGCGCCCAGATACAGGATAAGAGGCAATGTGCACAAACTGAAATGCAGAAAATTCCATTTAAACATAAGAAAAAAACTTTTTTCAATGTGACCGTGGTCAAAACACTGGACGAAGCTGCCCAGAGAGGTTATAGAGTCTCTGTCCCTGAGATAGTCAAAATCTGACTGGACATGGCCCTGAGGAATCTGTTCTTTTTGACCCTGCTTTGGCCAGCTGTGATGGGCTCAGTGGTTCTCACCGGTCCCTTCTAACCTCAGCAGTTCAGTGATTCTGAGCTAATGCTCTCCCAACAGCTAAAGATACAGTCTGAGAGAAACGGGTAACAGGAGGTGCCCAACTTCACGTACTCTTTCTAACAAGCATCTGCTATTGCCTCTGTGGGAATCAGAATACTGGGCAGGATAGAGCACTGCTCTGGTGAAGAAGGGCTTTTCTTATACAGCCTCACCAGAAATTTCCAGTTTTGGCCCATAATGCTCCCTCTTCAGATATGTCTCGGAACAAACAAAACAATTGTTAAGCAGAAGCCAGAGGTAAAAGTTTTTTTTCCACGCCCAGCTTTGAAGTCAGTTCAGTAAGTGATTTTAAGGAGATAGTGGGGATGCCTTATATGTATACATAGCTGCTGGTTCAAGTTAGACTAGCCCCTGGGGACATAAGATGAAAAAAGGTGGTGTGGCTGGCCAGTTAGCTTGGTTGCTATCTAAATACAAGCCTGCCCTCTTAACCACTGCATCTTCCCTTCCCCATGTTGTGCTAACACTAGCAATTGTAAATCCATGTAGCTGGCTCAGCTCATTGCTGTGTCTGAAAATCCTGTGACTAGTTTCTGCATGGATCATGAAGCTGACTCATGTCATTGCTGAAGTGCCACATGCTTGCAAGCCCTGACACAAGGGAGGAAGCAGGAACACACAGCCTGAAGCAGAAGGGAAGCCCACTGCTCTTGGCAGCAGTTCAGACTTAAATTAGCTTAGCCAGCCCTGAAATCACTCTTTGGTTGTCTAGTTTTCTGTGCCCCTTTCAGTTCACCAGGTCAGGGGCTGGCAGGGATTCTACCCAATGATGTGCTGTCAGGATTCTTGTGGATTTGTCATGGTGTTTCCCTGCACTGCAGGATGGTGTAAGTATACTGAGATCATCTAGAGTCCTTTTCAGGGGATTTTGGCATTGGTGCATTTTAATGCCTCATATTCTTTGCTGACTTTGGTCTCATATACTGAGTAGACTCAAACACTGACTACAGTCTTTGAGTCTACTTAAAAAGAATCTTGAAAGAGTGATCTGTGACATACTGAAGGTCAGACTGGGTGATAAGTTGGTCTCCTTTGTTTATATAAAATTGGTGAAAGGGTCATCATAATACTTTGCAGTTTAAGGGAACAGAGTGTTTAAATAGTCATTTTGTTTGTAAAGAAAGTAGAATGCACAAATCCTTTCAACTTGTGTATGTAGCACTCCTAGGTATTTAGTTAGAGTGGTTTAGGTAAGATACTGGCTTACTTAGGCTTAATGATGCTACTGACAGAGCTCTGAGGATAAAGAAGCAAAGAGAGAGGATATGGGAAATACACTATTGATTTACATAAATCAGCTTCCTCCTGTTTATTATTTATGTTTCCAAGGTGCAGAATAAAAAAGAAAAGTGTTTTGTTGTGTTTTTCTTTCTTCTGCAGAAAAATAGAGCAAATCTAGGGAATTTAGAAGGTAAGTCAGCAGAGTTAGTAATGATTAAGAATTGCTTTGCAAGTAAGCTCTGTGTCTGTAGGAACTCAAAACAGATCTTCATCTTATCCTAGTTTGAGTTTTTCTTGGACTTGCTGGTTTACTTGGTAGTTTTGTAGGAACTGAGGTTTTCATTGCTGTTTGTTCTCTTTGATTTGATGTTTCAGGATCAGGAAAGCAAAAGGATGAAAATTCTTTTCTTCCTTACTGGAAATGCTTGTGAAGTTTTACAACAGTGAATTTGTGAGGTTCAACTTTTCAGCTTAACTCAAATTTTCCCATTCCCTTAAGTAAATGCAGAATTCAGGCACATAGAATTGATGCCAATAAAATATATACTACATCTCTGTAGTACAGCTCAATTTAAGTGCATCCCAACAACTGAGCTTAAAAAATAAACTGGTCATACAGCTTTACTGAAACTTTCTTTATATAATGACATTATACTCAGATTGTCATCCAGAAGCAGAATTTAATGGCTGTTTATATGACTGTAATAAACTGCAGAGTTACTTAAGTCAGACACAGTCAGGATCCCACAGAACATTCCCTGTAGTTAGTCACGTGGTGGTTAAATTTGTTTTATTGAAGTAGCTTGTTCTGTTGTGGCCTGAAACGGGCACCCGGATGGTTTAACTAATTAAATTTTGGTAACTACTCACAAGAAATCTCTAAATATGTTCATAACGTTTATACTTTAAAAGCCTTTCTGTTTTGTTTTCTTACAGTTTTCACCATTCCATGCTACCTTATTGGCCTCTTGCTCCTATGATTTTACTGTAAGGTACAGTAAGCTTTTTATTGCATAAAACCAGTAATCTACATTAGTGGTTGATCTCTCTTCATGTGGCAGTTCTAGAGTGGACATGCTGAGCTGCAGATAATGTTGCTCTCAGGTGTTTCCTTGCTTTGAGCTGTGCTGCAAGTGCTGGGGTTAAAGGCTGAGGCCAGCTCAGTCACCCCTCTGAACGATACCTACTCCAACAGACAGTTCTGTAAGCCCTGCCCGTCATCCTGCTGACTGTGTCCGTGTCCAGCTACCATAGTCTCTGATAAGGAGGTAATAGCCTCTTAAATGAATATAGTTGAGTGACTTAATACAAGTTTCTGGAATTCATTTTTTATTTAAACCTTTAATGAATGGTTTTCATCCTGCGCATATCTGAGGAAGCTTTAGTATTGTTCCACAGTACGTGTGCTGAAGTTGTTCAGCAAGTTCCCCTCACTGTCAAGCAAATCTTACACTGCTACACAAGATTTCATGATTGAGCTGATTTGATAGAGGTCAGACTTCATACTAAGACTTCTCTAGGATACACAGTGTGAAGCACATTCCTGAATATTTGTTACATGCTTTGATCTACATTTTAGTCTTATATAACATGACTGAATTTGGTAGGCAGTAAGTTTATAAACAGGAGAAAGAAACCCCCTTGCCTAAGCTTGCCTCCACAAGCAACAGCAAAGTTATCCCACGTGCCCAAATCATCCCAGTTATTGCCACTGCTGGTTACATCCTAAGTGATCTGAGAGCAAACACAGAAGGGTTCTGTTTTCTAAAGGAAACCTTCTTGAGACTGCAACACAGGTAGTAAGCAACACTGTATGTGCACTATACCAGTTTTGCTTTAAAATACTAGCTGTCTATCTACAGCTGATCTGCACCTTTCCAAGCTCAGACTCTCAGTGCCTGTGTGTGTGTCTCAATAGTAAATGCCATAATATAATGTATAATTGCAATATGAACTTAGTCTTCTTTGCATCATAGGAATCCTGTATGCTTTGAAAAAACCTTTTTCAAAGACTGGTGCAAGCTGGAGTGCTGCCTTTTTACCTGGACTCTTGATCCAGACTAGTGGTAGTTTTACTTGTCCATGAAGAGTTTCTGAACCTGATGCACGAGGAAAAAAAAGTGTTACAAATTTCTTAGTTCACTGACTTGAAAGACCCAGTCCCTATCATCTTGGCTTTTACATGAGTTTTTATTGTTTGACGGATGAACCAAGTTACCTCCTTCTCTCTGTTTTTGACAAGTGTGTCATCTCAAAACCAGCTGATAAGCTTATTGGAAATACCAGCAGAAAGGATAGACACAGTTTTCACCCCCCCCAAAAAAGTATTTGGAAATAAATGCCTGGAGCTATGGGTTAGACATATGAAAAATGCTTAAGTTTCAGGGACTGATGTTGCATCCTTTCCTGGGGAAGGATGCAAAACTCCCCAGTTCAAATTTACACTGAGGGGAAAGCAAATCTCTGAACTAGTAGAAAATCTCACTGGATCATCTCCCTTGCCCTGCTCGCAGTGCTTTGCCTAGTGCAGCCCGAGGTCCCCTTGGCCACCTTGCCCCAGGGTCACACTGCTGCCTCGTGGTCTTGCCCCCAAGGGCACAGTGCTCCCCTGCGGTCAGACCGTTGTCCAGCAGCTCTCCCAGGCCCATTTGTGCAGACCTGCTCTCCAGCAGGTCGCCCTGCAGCTTGTCCTGGGGCTGGAGTTGCACCTCCCTCGTTGTGCAGCGCTTTGCACTTGCCTTTGAGCTCCGTGAGCCTCCTCGTCGCCCGCCTCCGTAACCTGGCCAGCTCCCTCTGCGGGGCAGCACGGTGAACGGGTGCACCCTGTCCCTCCACGTGCACCCCTGATGAGCAAGGGGAACAATGTTGAAGCCTGCATTGACCCCTGGGCTGCACCGTTAGCCTATTTACATTGTAAAGCAGCTTTCATCTGGGAGTAATGGTTTTATTACATGTAAAATCCCACACCCCGAGCCATTAAGATAAATTAAATGATTAGATAAAAACAAAAATCAGATTTCCTGCAGCAAGTATATTACTGCTTTGCCCTAGGCAACACAAGTACCAAAATGTTTTGTTATGCATTAGACAGTAGAGCTCTGGAAGCCACAACTCAATTTCCTATGTTCAAAATTCAAAACGTGTGCTCTCAATGTGAAACAAATTAACCAGGAATACAGCATTAATCACTGAAGTTGTCATACTTAAATCAGTTCTATTGTTCCCATTAGTATGCATTTACAGTACTGAATTTGTAATTTTAGTATGTTTATTTCTTTGTGGAGTTTTCTGCTAAGACTGTGCGCCTGTTCTGGTTTCTCAATCCCATTCCTCTTTTATAAACTTTAATGTTTGTTAACCTCCAATCTCTCTTTTTTTTTTTTTTTCCCCTGTCTTTATCAGATAGTAGAAGTAAAAGAGTTTTCAATTGAAAAGTTGTGCTCAGATATCTTCAGATATCTTTTTAAAAAGCCCAGCATGGGGTTATTATCTGTTATCTGATGCCTGGGCCTAGGCAGCACCTCTGTAAAACTGTCTGCACCTGATCTCTAGCTATGATGCCAGCTGAAAGACCTTAGCCTCTCTCACGGTAGTTGCATTTAGGAGTTCCCCTGATTGCAGAGCAGGCTGTTAATGTCGTGGTCGGTAATGACGTGCTTTGAGCCTGAAGATAAGCAGAACTTGTTCACAAGACTCGCGTGCTCAGCTGTAGCTTGGGAGTGGGTTACAGCATGTGGGACTCTTGTGGCCACACGCGTCCCTTGGCTGCTTCCCTTGCATAGGCAAGAGAAGTGGCCCGTTTTGCAGTGCTTGCTCTGTGCCTGGGCTGGTGCCTGCTGGAAGCCTAGGGGCGGGAGGTGCCTCTCAGCTGCCCTGCTGGTGAGCTCGATGCCAGCCCGGGCCCGCGTGCTGGCGAATCAGGCACCTGCAACACCCTGCCTCGCGCTTGCCCTTCCGTGCCCGCCGCAGCTTGGATGTGGACGGGGATGCAGGGAATGCAGCAGTGAGGGCAGGAGGAAGCTGCGGGAATAGGGCAGTTAATGGATACGGAGAGATCAGTAGGTATCCGAGCGTGATGGAGAAGGACTTGCGGTCAGGGTAGTGCCTGGAGTGCTATGCTAGGAAGGAGGAGCTGGGAAGGCTGGGAATCAAGCCAGCCCTCCTTCCTTCTTCCATTACATTAAGATACACTATCTTGTGATGGGAACTTCTGGAGGCTGAGAAGTTGCTGCCAGGGAGGACTGACTTCTGGAAGCCTTTGCTGCCAGCAGGTTTTTTGCTGTGTCCTGATTAGGGGCACCTGCAGCTCCTTGCTTCAAGTGGGGGCTCAGCAGGCACCAATCAATTCTCGAAGTATGGGAGAGGGGCTGATTCAATTACAATTGGCATGTAGCTGTGATTGGCTCCGCAGGTTTCTGAGCATTGACCGTAAAAAATTCCAGGATGGGTCGCTGTAAATGAAGTTTGATTGAGTCGTCCGGGGATGTCAAACAGCCATGCAGCCTAGGGGGCAGCTGTGTAACTGGCACCCAGGTGCGTCGCCCCCAGAGTGCGGGGCTGCAAAGCTCTGCTCTAGGCACCGTGGGGCTGCTGGAGCCAGCAGTGGTGGTGGTGACATGCCCCCCCATCCAGGAGGCTGTGCAGACACTGCTGTGACTTGTCCACTTCTCAGAACGTGGCTTTTTTTCTGCTGTCTGTAGGGGCCGTAGTGTTAGTGACAGGGGTGACTGTGAATGTAGTGACAGTGGCTGCATGGGTCTGGAGGCCCAAGCAATGTATTCCTCAATTCTGAGAGGATCCTGTGAGCAGGAGAAACATCCTCAGGTGCCAGTACCTGGCTGCATGGCTGGTGTCAGAGTTTGGCTCTGTCCTTGCCGCCGCAGGGCGCCCTTTGGGGCAGTGAGCGTGGTGAGGCGGGCAGGAGTATCCCTGCTGGTGGGGCGTGCTGGCCTGGAGCAGGGCACGTCGAACTAGGTCCATGGGAGAAGTGGAGAGGAGAGGTGGCGTGGGGCACGGGGAGGAGGCGTCTGGGGAGCAGCAGTGTCAGGGCCCTTTCGCTCTCCCTGTGGAAGCAGCATGGTGCATCAGTAAGGGAACCAGCGGGAATTAGCATTCCTTGGGCAGTGGCAGAGCTATGACTGCATAGGGGTTATAGAGACACGTGGGACAGCTTGACTGGCGGGCTGCACTAGACCAGGTTCCTCAGAGAAGATGGGAAGCTGAGGAGGAAATGGTAAATCAGTGAGATTATCACTGCAGTCAGCTCTCTGAATTTTCATGCTTTGCATGGAGTCGTTCCTTTCAAAAGTCATCCCTTTCCCTTATGGATTAGAAGTGGATGGTGAGTTTCTATAATACCTATCACCTGTTGGGGCATGTCATTGTTTCAGTAAAACATGTCAGTGCTTTAGAGTCTTTTCCTACACTCATTGCTATCCTCTTGCTTATTGCACTGAGGAGTAGTGTCTTGCCAGTGATACCCACACTCCTTGGTTGGTGCCAGAAGCCTGAAAGTGCAAGTGCTATGCTCTCCACACATCTAAACTTACAGAGTGCTGTAGCAGCATTCTGTCTTATATAAAGTGTTTAATTTCATTTATGCTTGTAGAATACTGCACAGGGGTCTGTGGACGTTATTTATGTGATCTTACGTAGCATTTTTTACTGATACAGTGCCAGCTAGTTTGCAGAGTATGATTTCTCAGAAGGTTTCTTGGTCCAAAATAAAATAAAAAGGATTGGCTTCTTCCAGGGACCTTGTCTGAGCACTAAGATTAATAAAGAGTAAGAAACTGCTGATGCATCCTCATACTCTCCCCATTTTTGACACCAAGTGTATGTCCTTCAGATCTGACAATAATGCACTTTATGTAGAGAAATCTAGTACAATTTTAGCTCTTACATTTAATCTGTGAGAACTGTTGCTGGAGGTGGAGAGAGTTCCTAGATTAGGTACTGTGACGTCTGGAAATGAAAACCATGCAAACCTTTT